TCTGGCTAGCGATTGTGGTTGATGTTGAGCACGGCGTTACTACACGTGATCTGGTGCGGATGCCTGACCGAGCGCCTTCAGCTAGATGAGTCCACTAAAACATATGGTCAGCATCCAATGTCGAAAACTTACAGTGCTATTTATTTTGGGGATTTATTTACCGCTACAACATATTAGTAAGAAAGCCAATGCATATACAAGATATAGTTTATTAGAAAACTATGCTGTGCAGACAAATTTGAATTAAAATAATGCCAAGTTCTCACATTAACTTTAATAATCAGAACTGTATTTCTAAGTCCCTAATCAGATAATTATAATTATCTTTTTATCACACCAAAGTACTTGCTGTCCTAAAGTCTTGTTTATTCAATACTGCAACAAGACTTGACAACAAAAATGAAGGATGTTAGTTTGGTAGACTTGGTTATCTAATTGTTTTGTTACTATTATGCGGTTAAGAACCAAAATTGGAAAATGAAACGCATATAGACCAATGTAATTGTAGTGTTTGTATGAACTAATGATTATTTTGTAACGGATGTCTACCTGATTTTGGATTGTAAACACAATACGTTCGTTTGTGCTCACCTAGTTCTATTTGGCTTAAATTGCGTTAATTCAGGGATACCTAGTTCTTATAATCATCCAAATACTTCTGAATATCACAATAACTTTGCAACTTGCGTAATACGAATGTAACGAGTATGATATGACCATCAGCTATGATGCTTCTTGAAATCGAGTTGGCACTACTAGACCAATTATTTCCATATCATCTCACAGTATGAATGAGAGACTCCAGTACAAGAACAAAAATCAAAATCAAACATTTCGTTTTCGAAAACACTTAGTTACGTAACAACTGGTCGGTAGCTTTGGTAAGCCACCTCTTTCATACAAAGGCTAGACGTTAATCTCAAATTCTACGATGATACCGAATGTTAACAATTGACCTTTCAGACCATGTAGTTTCAGAAGGAACACAATAAGAACCAAATATCTCCGTTATCAAAACCTGTTTTTTGACACAAGGTAAGTAATGTAAATGAACAGTGATAAGGCTTAATCGTTTTAGCGAATTTTCTAAGTTGATTCAATTGTCGAAGTGCTCGTTGTACATAACACTGTTATGAAGTTGTAGGTCATTTTCTACTCCATCGAGGCAATCAAAACATAAACGAACATCATAGAAAATAGTCTTAACTTGGAAGGGCAAATGTTTAGATTTTGGGTTTTCTCCGTGAGATTGCAATGTTACTGGTTGTCGTTGAACTAGAACATGCGATAACTGAGAAGATTTGCATTCAATACTGTATAAAACATCGATAATAGGAGCGCAGAATTACTTGATCGATATGACATGACTCAGCCATGCAGGTTCAGGTCACTACTGTGTAACACTTTCCTTGTCATAAATAATATGTCACATAGATTAGTTAATATTATTACATTTTATCTATGCTGTCAGAACAATAGATCTATTTCATAACTGTAGATTTTCAACGATGTGACTGTGTTGTGGCATTGGGCTTTAACCACACAATCCTCAAAGCTGAACACGAGACAACCGAGAAAATAGACTTTCAAAATTCAACGCAAAGAAAACCCACCAATGGTAAAAGCAGTAAGAGTTGATTCAATTCTTCGGATGGCATGGCTCAGCCCTGCAGGCGTAGTCATTCTTATGCGACTTATCCCTTTCATTCATACTAAAAATATATTGTTCTGTCTCCAGCTTAATTGCGTTCTCCATCTTATATTGTTGGTTGTTGCGATACGATGAGTCAATGCAGACATTGATGTGATTTCCACGTAAGATTTTATTGATTAGGCAGTTGCATCATAACGAATCCAGAGTTTTTGGATTAGTTCTATTATTAGAACAGTTCTAATAACGAAGTAGATCATAATTCTACAACTACCTCGTCATTCAATCCCTCCGTGTAATTCACACATACTGACTTGTCCTATCATGACAGAAAATGTTTGTGGCTAGGGACTTCTGAAAAATACATTTGAAATGGAAATCAAACAATTAATATAATATGCAAAGCAAGAGGTTACATAACGATGACCACATCCGAATGGCCAAGCCATACTATATTGATCGGGTGCTCTCGCGTTCGCCATTTTTATTGCAAGTCGCCGTATATTCAGCTTCATCGACCGTCTTTAGGACCAACAGCATTACACTATCCTACCAGAATCAACATTAATTTATTTCGATACAATTGTGGAATTATGGTCTACTAGGATATTAGTACTGCTCGAATAATAGACCTAATCATAAAATTGTAGATTTGTCATGACATAACTGCCTAATCTATAAGATCTTACGTGGAAGTCACACCATCGACTACACCAACTCACTGTATCGTATCAATTACCAATACATGATGTAGAACAAGGTTAGGCTAGAGAAGGAACAATATATTTAATATGAATAGAAGATACAAGGTAACATTCAGATGGACCACGCCTGCATGGTCGTGCCATGCCATCCGATCAACTCCAGTCCATTCAGTTCATTGTTCGCGCCTTCTCCATTGTTGGGTATTTCTCCGCGTTAAATATTGAATACCTATTTTCTGAGTAGTCTCGTGTTCACAGCCTTGTGGATTGTGTGGCTGTTGTCCAATGCCACTACACAATACCAAGTGAGATCAACGCGCGCAAATGGTTACTAAGAGAATAGTTAGAATCCTCCAGGTGTTAAAAAACGAGATATGTAGCAAAACGATAGCAGCAGCAAATAAATCGCTATGTGCGATAATTTTAAAATGTTTGTTTTATTTTCAGCACTCGTAAATCGAAAATTTACGTGCACATTATTTGAGAGATAAACGAACTTGAACTATTATACTGCAGAATGGTTTGGTATTAACAGATTTAAAAAAACTCATATCAAAATGTGTAACAGCAACCGTTGGTTAACAGCTTAATGTGCGAACAGCGCAAATACTTGATGCTCAGAGTTATGGTAAACAAATGCAAAGATATTCAGTGATGTAGAAATGTTGATATTATCATTATAATTGACTTCGTTTGGCAAATTGGATGTTAATGCCCGTGTGCTGACAGTATGTGTTGATTTATAATTGCATTTGCGTTAATAAGCTAACTGAAGGAACAGTAGTATAACCACGTAGAGGAAAAATTCCAACTTTTGTGCCGGTTACTTTTTGGGCTTTACAACATTTATATAGTTACAGGGATATTTCTTCCTTACTCTTTAACCGTAACATGACTTAGTAGTACAATTAATATCAAAAATTCACTTAGTAAGTGGACGTATTGATAATTGTTTAAAATTCGGACAGACAGCTTAGATGAATTCGCCAAACATGAGTGTATATATGAAAGACATGAACTAGACTCAATTTCCTGATGTACGGTAAAAAATTATTTGTATTCATACTGATCGGTTGATAGTGCATTCAATTAGTTACACGTATGAAGTTCGGAACAAGGTAGAGACCGACGTTTTTGAGACAGAGTGATTATAAATTGCTGAATTTGGTAAAGCTTGTATGTCTCAGATCTGGGCGACATGATTTTGTCCGTTTTCATCTAAACTAATCTGTGAGTGCTGCGTATGCCATTATTAGGTAGAGCGTAAGTTGTAACCAAGACGTGTACCACCTCCAACTCATGCTTATGACAGTGATATGAACCATTATCAGCGTTAGGGTATCCATTACGGAATGCAATGAGTGGTGTTTCAAGAAGTGAAAGCATTAAGTGTTGGATGTGCGAGATGTAGGACATAAGAAATGGAAGATATGTGTTAAGTAATTGTCATAAATCGTTAGTATATTTGTGGATAACCAAATGTTCATCAAGTCTCAAGGCAACACGTGTTGATACAGTATCTACTTACTTTCAGATGTAGCTATATTTACCTGGCTTCACAGGTAAGGAGGTTCTTTAATTTATGAGGGGGGCGGAGACGCGTTCATCAATACTGTGAAACTGGTACATAGCAATAGCCAGTATCAACTACATGAAACCGTTAATGAATAGTGAGATACCAGTCCCTAAATTGAGGCTGGTATTTCATAGCTATCCGACAAAAGATTGGCAATTGCAATATATTGAACATTAGGTCTGCGCCATTTGCTTCGATTTGGCCTTGACTGTACGGTGGACTTGTATCTATTGCGCACACATTTCTCTTCGTAATTCTTCTATGTAAATGAAAGTTTCCTCAATTTTAAGGACAGTTCGTAGAAACCTGCTATCTGTGTTTGCACCCACCTTCACTGCCTATATAATTTACGTGGATTATCAAGCTTGCAAAAATTATAAAGTTAGTTTGTGTGTTATTATATAACATCTCACATAGGGATCGAAACTCGCAAATGAATCTTCAGGTGTCGTCGGGTAGTCTTCGGATGGGGTTGTTTGTGACGGGAATAGTAGCTGGTGTTTTCGGTTCCTATGCACTTTTCAGGTGTATTCCTGTGAATGAAGAAATGAAAGGTAGATCAGCACTTTATCGCAACAGGAAAGTTCCAGCTGGTGAAGATCCATGGAAGTACTAATGCTTTAGTTAATGTATAAATAAATACTTCGTAGCAGTAGAATGTCTTTTGTTTTAATGCCCACGTTGTAAACATTCTAACCATCCTTATGTTTTCAGTGCTCTGCTACCTAAATTATGGAAAGTGTATCAAAGCGGAATAATTTGGAGGATGATCTTAAGAATGTGGAGTTTGAGACATCTGAAAATATCGAAGTAATCCCATCTTTCGATTCAATGTGTCTTCGAGACGATCTACTTCGTGGGATATACGCTTATGGTAATAACCCCTAATTTCTTTAGTTCATCTCATAGGATTTGAGCGGCCTTCAGCGATTCAGCAAAGAGCTATCAACAAATAGTAAAGGGTCGAGATGTTATAGCACAGTAAGTACTTCATTATTAACTTTTATCCTGTTTTAGAGCTCAGTCTGGTACTGGCAAAACCGCAACACTAGGTATATCTATTCTACAAATGTTGGACACCCAGCTAAGAGAAACTCAAGCTTTGGTTTTGTCTCCAACCCGTGAACTAGCTTCGCAAATACAAAAAGTCATCCTCGCCCTAGGTGACTACATGAATGTTCAATGTCACGCTTGTTATGGTGGGACAAACATTGGGGAAGATATTAGGAAACTAGACTACGGACAGCATGTCATATCTGGAACTCCTGGTCGTGTATTCGGTGAGTCGTATGTACTGTTGAAAATATTTATCTACGAATGTACACACGCTTTATAGTTCCATGTGTGTCTCTTAGTAGTTCTACTGTTGATTAAAATGACTGGGTAAAAAATTTAAAATACTGACCCATAAGCAGCCAGTATCATATAGTTAGAGAGGAAAATGTCATAATAGCATGCATAAAGCAATACTGAATTTAGAAATGTGTCATAAACAGGATAACATATAAGGAAGTAATCTGTCACTAATTAGTCCGTCAGTTATCAACTTTAGCTTCATGAACATGGCTTTGAGTCACATTGTTTTTTGGGGGGGGGGATAGTTACATTGCTTATTTGTTCATTATTTTAAATTTTTTCTTATTAGTAGTAACTAACCATAGCGATCTGATTTTACAAACTTTACTGAATACTAATAGTTCGTTTTCATCTCACTTATCGTTGTGTATATTTGGATTAGATTATGGATTTCATGTACGTTTTTGTTTTGTGCAGATATGATACGCCGTCGCAGTTTACGAACAAGAGCTGTTAAGTTGTTTGTTCTGGATGAAGCCGACGAGATGTTGGATAAAGGGTTCAAAGAACAAATTTACGATGTTTATCGGTATTTACCCCCTGGTACACAAGTAGTTCTCCTATCAGCCACAATGCCTCATGAGATCCTCGAAATGACGTCAAAGTTCATGACCAATCCTGTTCGGATTCTGGTAAAACGGTAAGTTAGCTTCGATATTTTTTGCGTGAGATCAAGTGAATGTTTAACACTTGTTCGATCAAAAGATCCACGTTGAATCAAGTGAATGTAAATTGTCCGAATTCTAATTGGAGCGAGCATAGTATTTCGTGAAATAATTGTCATCTCATTAGATTTGTGTAAGGGCTGTGATATTGCCCGGGTGCCCAGACCGAAGTAGGTGGTTTTCTTAGGGGGCCACATCCGGAGCCTTTGATCTAAAGGTCTGACCCACTAGGCAGTGAAGCAACGTAAAGAGATGCAGCCCTATGGTAGCCGGTGACCAACGCCATTTGTTCCCTCAGGATACTGGAGCCCATGCGCACAATTGGTTTGGAATCAGGGTTTCCCAACTCCCCTATGTGGACCCTCCGTGTCCACCAACCCGGTTAAAGCGCCGGAGTTTCTCTTTTCGTCCTCTCAATTTCGTGAAGAAAAGTAATGCCGTAAGAAGGCAGTGAGTAGGACTTCCCTGGCAGTGGTTGTATGCACGTGCCATGTGGGAGCATTCCGAGAGGGAGAACGGACTTTCCCCACTCTCGGCCGTACTAAGGCATTCGGGGGCACCTCGATAAGAGTTGGAGGACATACATTAGTTTACTACTCAGTTTGATTGGAGATCGTAGGTAACTGGAATTTAGTTGAAGGCTAGTTGAACTGCCCTCTATGGTATACTGCCCATTCATCAAATCTCCTGGATTGAGAGTGAATAAAAGTCCCATCTTTCTCCGAAATTGTTTCACTAACAGCCGAATTTCCAATAACCGTTTCGTTGGTAAGTCTGATTGCTCATCTACTGTTACTTATCGCTGCTTCTGCTTCTCATTGTGTTTAGAGCCTGCTAATATGAGTTTACTAGTATCCATCAGTTTAATAGACGTCACTGAAATCCACTGAGTTTTCTTGGCCTTTTGATTTAAGTTACTAATAGATACTACTTCTGTTTCCACAGCCTTCTGGATATTATTCCAAGCTACATCTAAGTGGAAATGACTTTCACGGTTGACTAACTTTTTCTCTGTTCCTGAAATATATTCTTGACTTTTTCATCATTAAGCTAGATTCTAACGGGTTTTCTTGCTGTGGATTTGCTGCGTCCAGTAAGACAGACAAGTAGGTGCTTAAACTAAGGCATGATCTGAGTCCAGACATGTGCTCCAACATAAGCGACGGTCTCCTATCGAGCCTCTCCAGCGATGGCTGATGGTAATGTGGTCTATGTGTGTCCACTGTTTAGTCGATTTTGAAGTTGGCCACGTCAGATGTTGCTTTTTCTTCTGATTAAAGTTGGTCTTTGCTATAAATAAACGGTGATCGGACCTTAAGTTGCTGCTTTTGCTCTTACCGTTCTCCAGCCAACTCGTCTTCCAGGGTGGAACCTAAAGGAATATGTTTCAGCCAATATGACTCGGTTGGGTCGCCGCGATAGGCAAAGCTGACCACTACATCAATGTAGCAGCTACAATCGGGATGAGGGCTAGCAGTTCTACTCAGTTATTGAGGTAAATTAGTATAGATTCCATCAGACTACTGTGATGATAAAAAAACTGCTAAACATGGCTATAAAACATTTCGTCTCTTGTTTCTGTAAGCCTACTTCGTTTTACATTCCCGGACTCGTAAAATCTGTATTTTTTTGTTCAGTTCTATACAGAGATTGTATGTAATTGATAATAAGCTAGCAATGTAGAATAAAGTCATCTTACCCTATATGTATTGTTCTGTTTCCTCTGACGTTATTTATTTACTTGAAGGCGAACAGTATGAGGTAAGTATTGAGATTACACTTGAAACGGCTACTCGCATGTGTAATTACTGTTTTTTGGCTCAACTGCTTTTTCAAGTATGTAAAGTCAACTGATACCTTTCACCGTTACATGGTAACTTGGTACATTCGAATCTCATCAGTCACATTTCTTGATCGATTATATATATAAGATAAAAGCTTAATAATTTGTCAATCTTGAATCATCACATTATACCTAGATATTCGGTTTGAGTTCTTTTCACTGTATTATGAAATTCATCAACTGTAATTAACAGAAACGATCGTGACTTTTACATGCTCACAATAGTGGGTAGGATACTACTCTCTGTAATTAAACCGGTTTCGATGAACAGATTTACTGTTACTCGACGTTTCACTTTTATGAAATATATGCTTTATTAGTAAAATTATGTACCATGATTTTTAATGCGTGTCACTCAAGTGCGTCACTGTTTTGAAACATCACATGAAATGTGTAAACATCTTGATATAAGTTTGTTTTCTTGTTAGAATTATGGTTGTTCTAACCAGGGCATTTGGAGGCCCCATATATATATTTGGTGCCCCCTTGTACCAATATTTATGTGTTCAAATAAATAACTCTTGTTTCTGATATTTTACAGCGATGAATTAACTTTGGAAGGCATAAAGCAATTCTTTGTGGCAGTAGAACGAGAAGAATGGAAATTCGACACTCTTTGTGATTTATACGATACACTCACTGTCACTCAGTCTGTTATTTTCTGCAATACTAAACGTAAAGTTGCATGGTTGACGGAGAAAATGCTCAAAAACAACTTCACTGTGGCTTCTATGCATGGTGATATGGTTCAGAAAGAGCGAGAAGAAATTATGAAAGATTTCCGAGCTGGGGATAGGTATGTTTAAAGTATCCTGGTTGTTCAGCATATTTATTTTTTACATTTTAAACACTTTAAAATTGCCATCATAAACTTATATTTACATGTAGTTTAGTTAAGTTACGAGATTTACCACATCGGTTACAATGGCGCTACTGCATTCACTCTGTCTTCTAGATCTTAAGTTCCAGCGTCCTTCCATGTATATCTTTCCATTCTGTCTTTCGAAACTGTTCTGAGTGTTCAGTTTAGCCTGGTTCACCCTATATACAGCTGCACTCATTCGATGAATTCGGAATTACATCACCTATTCTCCAGGCATGGATAACAGTCATCTAACTGTGACCAGGAGAAAGCCTATGGTTCTTTACATGTCATAGATTTCGTGGATTTATACATTCCTTTCACTCAAGGGCACATAATCTTCCAGTCAGCCTACTCCATCAAAGTAGACAGTGTCTAGACAAGTTTCAAACACTCATACTTGATATAAATTCATAAGTTATTAGTTGGTTTCTTTCTGAACTTGAGACTACAATCAAGACTAAATTCACTAGTCTTTATAAAGCAATATCTGTTATCTTATCTCTTGAGCGCTTACACCTTAGTCATACCACATCAAAATGTACCTTGTGGAGTCCACTCAAGCTTAGTTATGCCGTCGATGATTTCACATTTAATGGGTGAATGTTTTCAAGTCATGTGCTTTGCTGAAGTTCATAAAGTGTGGTACAAATCTACGTACTCGATTTTTTTAATGGTATTTTCAGACTCCATACTGTTTTTACTCAAGGACTTAGATAACTTTAAAATCCTACTTAATATGGAAATTGTGGTTCTTGCATGATACGAATATTTTCACTGTAGAAGTGGTTTACTAAGTAGTTAAAAACATTTCATCGTTTTGTGATAAAAATAGGTAACTGGTAACGTATTTGAATGTAAGCAGTCATCACTCACTATAGTTGTAAAGTATTTCAATAATCAGCTAGTGTATTATACCATAAAAGTCCCCATCACCACTTAAGCAGTTAAGCTTTGTCATATATATATAAGCTAACGACAACTAATGTAGACCAAACTAGATACCCAGTGTTAGAGTTTAATCAAACCAAGAATGGCCACATCACATGATTCAAGTGCTTATAATAGTTTAACTCACTGGTTGAAGTGGCTCAAAATCTGCAAGTACTCTTTATCTCCCTCTAAATAACAAACATCTTATGATTACATGTTTATTTATTTCGTGTCTATCCACCTCGTGGCTAATTTCAATTTCTTGTATTTGTATAATCATTCAATGAGATGAAGTTGATTAGAACTATGAAATATATTAATCAAATACATTTCGAACATAGTCTAATGCTATTGATTCATTATCCAGTATAATGTGTTTTGCATCGTTCTTTCTTCCAGTTTTATTTTTCATATATAAATATCTTAACAAGTATATGTATGATCAGTTTGTCCAAAATGTATTGCGCTAATATATCACAGTTTTGACAAGCTTCGTCTTTTCATTTACATTATCCTAAATTATGAAAGAGACCAACTATTTTAAATACTTGTTTTATTAAAAAGTATAAAAATACGAGTCAGTAAAATTGACTTTTAGTAATTCACTTGTTGATTATGTTTACATTTCAGCCGCGTCCTCATAACAACAGACTTGTGGGCACGAGGTATTGATGTCCAACAGGTATCTCTTGTCATAAACTACGATTTACCTAACAATCGTGAACTTTACATCCATCGTATAGGTCGATCGGGCCGTTTTGGACGTAAAGGTGTAGCGATTAACTTTGTAAAAACGGATGATATAAAAATCTTACGCGATATTGAACAGTACTACTCTACACAAATTGATGAAATGCCAATGAATGTTTCAGACCTTGTATAATTCTTGGCATTCTTTTCGTACTTTAATAAATACTTATATTTTGTATGTAGTCAACTTTTTTTATTTTTAGTCGATGCAGTTAGTAATACAGATATTATCATGTCACTTTACGTTATCGAATCTGACTAATATATACCCTATGCGTTGATGATGACTGACTAAATATATATTGCTCAGATTATGTAGACTATTTCAGTCTCAAGATTAACGAACTTTAGGCTCGTAACAGCTCTAAAGTGTAATATAAATGATGTTCTCACCTTAGAGTTTAGGTATGATTCAATCATAATATTACTGATTAGTAGGGTACGCTTATTAACTAACAAGATCACTCGGTCACTCGAATGGAATTCGTAAAATGGAACCGGGGATAAGCTTAAAAATCCTAAACTGCTTTTGTGGATTCAAAACAAAGACATTTCTAGCCAATGATTTTTTTATTCAAGTAGAATCAGCCACCACAATCTGATAACTATGATCCAAAAGTTGCGAATTCCACAGAATGTAGCTGTTTAATATGATGGGGATTTGTTCTTGACCTTATGACAGGTTTAGCGACTGCATATAGTCCAGTAACACCTTGAGAAAAGCTGTGAAGATAAGAGAAAATATACCATGGATTAACAGAAAGGTAGGATTTCGCTAAAAAACAACAAGAAATGTAGCAACAGTATTCGTACTGAGATTAGTTTGACGTCAATTTATATATATATATATATATATATATATATATATATATATATATATATATTTACTTACGCCTGTTACTCCCAATGGAGCATAGGCCGCCGACCAGCATTAGCCATCCCACTCTATCCTGGGCCTTCCTCCCTAGTTCGACCCAATTGTTGTTCACTCTTCCCATATCTCTCTCCATCTCTCGATGTAATGTGTTCTTTGATCTTCCTCTTTTCCTTTGACCTTGAGAATTCCATGTGAGGGCTTGTCTTGTGACACAGTTGGGTGCTTTCCTCAATGTATGTCCTATCCACTTCCAGCGCTTCTTCCTGATTTCCTCCTCCTCTGTGATCTGGTTTGTTCTCTCTCACAGTACGTTGTTGCTAATAGTGTCTGGCCAACGAATCCGAAGTATTTTGCGTAGACAATTGTTAATAAACACCTGTATCTTCTGGATGATGGCTTTCGTAGTTCTCCAGGTTTCTACCCCATACAGTAGAACTGTCTTGACATTTGTATTGAAAATCCTGACCTTGGTGTTGGTTGACAGTTGCTTTGAGTTCCAGATGTTCTTCAGTTGTAAATATGCTGCTCTTGCTTTGCCGATCCGCGCCTTCACATCTGCATCAGATCCACCCTGTTCATCAATGATGCTGCCCAAATATGTAAAGGTTTTTACATCTTCCAAATCTTCTCCGTCAATTGTGATTGGATTGGTGCATGCTGTGTTGTATCGGAGAATCCTGCTTTTCCCTTTGTGTATATTGAGACCTACTGCTGCTGAGGCTGCTGCCACACTGTTCGTCTTCTCCTGCATCTGTTGTTGCGTTTGGGATAGAAGGGCCAGATCATCTGCGAAGTCTAGATCATCCAACTGCATCCTAGATGTCCATTGTATCCCGTGCTTCCCTTCAGACGTTGACGTCTTCATGATCCAGTCGATCACCAGGAGAAAGAGAAAGGGTGAGAGTAAGCAACCTTGCCTGACACCGGTCTTCACTTCGAACGACTTTGTCAACTGTCCTCCATGCACAATTTTGCAGTGTAATCCATCATAGGAATTCTGTATGATATTGACTATCTTCTGAGGCACGCCGTAGTGTCGAAGAAGTTTCCATAGTGTTGTTCTGTCCACGCTATCAAATGCCTTTTCGTAGTCAATGAAGTTGATGTAGAGTGATGAATTCCATTCAATTGATTGTTCCACAATGATCCGTAGAGTTGCGATTTGGTCTGTACACGATCTATCCTTACGGAATCCTGCCTGTTGGTCACGAAGTTGGGCGTCTACGCAGTCCTTCATCCTGTTTAACAATACCCTGTTGAAGACTTTTCCCGGTATTGAGAGAAGAGTGATGCCCCTGTAGTTATCACAGTTGCTGAGATCGCCTTTCTTCGGTATTTTGATCAGAAGTCCTTCTTTCCAGTTTGTTGGTACTTGTTCCTCATCCCAAATCTTATTGAAGAGAATGTGGAGTATCCTTGCAGTTGCCGCTACGTCTGCTTTTAGTGCCTCTGCTGGAATGTTGTCCGGTCCTGCTGCTTTGCCACTCTTGATTTGTCTGATGGCCATGCTGATTTCTTCAATTGTTGGTGGGCCAACATTGATTGGGAGGTCCGTGGGTGCTGCTTCGATGTTGGGTGGGTTCAGTGGAGCTGGTCGATTCAAGAGTTCTTTGAAGTGTTCTACCCACCTGTTTTGTTGCTCTTCAATGTTGGTGATTACCTCGCCTTCCTTGCTTTTCACTGGTCGTTCTGGTTTGCGGCGATTTCCAGAGAGTTTCTTTGTCGTGTCATACAGTTGTCTCATGTTTCCTTCTCTTGCAGCCTTTTCCGCCGTCGTTGCTAAATCTTCCACATATTTACGTTTGTCGGTTCTGATGCTCCTCTTCACTTGTTTGTTTACTTCTGTGTATTCAGCTTGTGCCTTGGCTTTTTCTGCTCTTGTTCGACTGGTATTGATTGCTGCCTTCTTGTTCCTCCTTTCTTGAATCTTATCCAGTGTATCAACAGTGATCCATTCCTTGTGATGGTGCTTCTTGTGACCCAGGACCTCATGACATGTTGAAGTGATTGCCTCTTTGATCCCCTTCCAGTTGCTCTCCACAGTAGTTCCTTCTCCATTGAGTAGATCATGAAAGGCCTGGAACTTGTTGCTGAGGACTATCTTGAATTTGTTGAGTTTGTTAGTATCCTGAAGAAAGGCCGTATTGAACTTTTGTGATATTGTCCGCCCCGTTGTCCAGTGCTTCTTGAGTTTCAATTTCATCTTGGCGACCAGCAAGTGATGATCTGATGCTATATCAGCTCCTCTCTTGGTTCTCACGTCCTCTATAGTCCTCCTGAACGTTTTGTTGATGCAAATATGGTCGATTTGGTTTTGTGTAGTGTGATCCGGTGAAGTCCATGTGGTTTTGTGTATGCGTTTATGTGGGAATATGGTGCCGCCTATGACCAGTTTATTGAAGGCACATAGATTTGCAAATCTCTCACCATTTTCGTTCCTTTCTCCCAGTCCGTGTCGTCCCATGATGTCTTCATATCCAGTGTTGTCCGTTCCAACCTTGGCGTTGAAATCTCCCATCAGAATGGTCAGGTCCTTTGTTGGGCACTTCTCGACGATTGACTGCAGCCTATTGTAGAATTGATCTTTAGCGTCTTCATTGTAGTCGTTGGTAGGCGCATAGCATTGGATGATGTTCATTGAAATGCCCTCTTTCTTTGTTTTGAACGAGGCTTTGATGATCCTTGGTCCATGAGATTCCCATCCTATAAGTGCATTTTGCGCTTGTTTGGACAGCATCAATGCAACTCCTTGTGTATGTGGTGCATTTTCTTCTTCATGGCCGGAGTATAACAGGAGCTCTCCTGAAGTTAGTCGTTGTTGTCCAACTTGTGTCCAATGTGTTTCACTGATCCCAAGTACCTCTAGGTTGTATCTTCTCATTTCTGCAGCAATTTGGAAGGCTCTCCCGGTGTCCCACATTGTACGAACATTCCATGTACCTAAATAAATGGTTGCTCTGGTTGTCAGAAGGGGCATCGGCCTCGTAACTTCCGAAGGAATTCGGCTTTCATCATGAGGCGTCATAATTCTTCTAAATGAAGACCTGACTCCCAGGGCAGAGTTTAAAAGGTTTGAATAATTTTTTCTGGTTAGCGTTTTTTTGCGAGTTAGTTTTCTACGGGATGGGGACGCTAACCCCATGCCCAACCCTCCTCCTTTATCCGGGCTTGTGACCGGCGGTAGCCCCCGGACGGACTTTATGCGGAGTTGCTCGTAATTTAATCTTCACTAGGATAAAACAGCAACCAAAGGTATTTATCAACCATCACGTGTCAATTTAACTTTTTCTGTAGTTCTTCTAGAGTTGCTTCCTGTCCCAAGCCCGGGTAAAGGAGGAATGTTGGGTGTGGTGTCGGCAAACCGGTCCCGTAGGAAACAACCTTGTTAAAAACGCTAATCATATTAAATAAATTAAACCATTTAAACTCTACCCTGGAAGTTGAAGGAAGAATTATGACGTCCAATGATGGAAGCCAAGATTCTTCGGAAGTCGCGAGATTGAAGCCCCTTTTAACAACCAGAACAACAATTTTTATAGGTACATGGGAAGTCCGGACAATGTTGGAGACCGGGCCAGCTTGGCGGTGCTCGGAATCAGTGAAACCCATTAGACCCAAGCTGGACAGAAAATATTAGATTCAGGAGAAATGCTGATGTACTCTGGTCACGATGAAGAAAATGCTCCATACATTCAAAGAGTTGCTCTGATGCTGTCCAAAGAAGCACGTAAAGCACTTGTAGGATGGGCATGTCACGGACCCATGGTCTTCAAGACAAAGAATGAGGCGATTGCAATGAATGTTATGCAACGACCAATGATACGAATGACGACGATACAGATTAGTTCTACGAGAGGCTGCAATCGATCATGCCCCGATGTCCAGGAAACAACCTTACCATCTTAATGGGAGATCTAAACGCCGAAGTTGGAACGGATAACAACGGTAGTGAAGATATCATGGGATGACATGGACTGGGAGACAGAAACGAAATTGGGTAGAGATTTGCAATTCTACGTGTATTCAAAAATCTGGTTATAAGCGGCACAAAGCTACACGAGTCTGACCGGAACACACAACGGAAAACAAGGTCGTTTATATTTGCATTAACAAAAAATTCCGAAGGATAAGCGAAGATATGAGAACCAGGAGAGGAACTGACATAGCTTCTGATCATCACTTGGTTGTGGCCATGATGAAAGTGAAGATAAACAAACACTGAACAACTGGAGGAAGAAGCATTAAAAAGGTTCAGCACAGCCTTCTTTCGACATACTAACAAACTCAGCGAATTCAAAATAACTCTCCACAACAGGCTCCAAGCCTTACAGGATCTACTCGAAAAAGAATAAACGACAATGAAGGACAACTGGAAAGGCATCAAAGAAGCACTAATTTCAACATGTCAGGAGGTCCGGATCGCAAGAAGCATAATCCTAAGGAATGGATCTCTACCGAAAACCTAGACATGATTCAAGAAATGAAGAACAGGGAGATAGCAGTTAAGAAAAACCGAACAAGAACAGAGAAAGTCAAGGCACAAGCCGAGTACACAGAAGTAAACAAGTGATAAGGAGCATTAGAGCTGACAAGCAGAAATACGTGGAATACCTAGCGACGACAGTAGAAAAAGCTGCAGCAGAAGAAAGTATAAGACAACTGTATGACACAACGAAGAAACTGGCAAGCAATTACAGTAAACCAGAGAGACCGGTCAGGGACAAAGAAGGTAAGACAATCACCGAGATTCAAGAACAGAGGAACAGATGGGTAGAATACTTCAAGGACCTCTTGAATAGACCAGCTACAATGAACCCACTGGAAATCGAAGCACCACCTACAGACCTTCCTATAGATGACAATTCACCAACGATCGAAGAAATCAGGATGGCCATCAGACAAATCAAGAGTGGAAAAACAGCAGGACTTGACTATATACCACCTGAACCACCGAAGTCAGATATAGAAGTAACTTCACGTTCTAGTCAGGAAGAACAAGTGTCGACAGATTGTAAAGAACGACATCTCATCAAGACACCAAAGGAAGGAAATCTGAGGAAATGTGAGAACTACAGAGGAATCACACTACTGTCAGTACCAGGAAAAGTTTTCAACAGTGTTGCTGAACTGGATGAAAGACTCAGTAGATTTCCAGTTTCGAGATCAATAAACCGGATTCCGTGAGGATCGTTCGTGCACAAACCGAATCGCAACACTATGGATTATCGTTGAACAATCAGTTGAGTGGAACTCGTCACCATGCATCAACTTCATTGACTATGAGAAGGCGTTAGATAGTGTGGACGAGAGAACTTTATGGAACCTTCCTCAACAATATGAAGTAACTGAGGAAATCGTCAACATTATCTGGAATTTATACGACGAACTATAGTGCAAAATTACCATCGATGAACACGGAGGATGCGATGTAAATGTAAAGGGTGGTCTATGCTCCTCCACGAGGGGTAACAGGCATAAGTAAGCGTGTTAATTTCCTACCAGTTCAGTAGTTATTAGAGAAAATTACTTGATTTTTATCAGGATACATCAATATAAACATCTGTACTTGCAAATGAACTATTTGTGAACATTCTTATTGAAGGGGACGGCATGTGTTCGGCAGAACACAGATCTGATAAGTGTGATAACCGTAGGTTTTTAGGTCATAGCATTTCAAGATAATAATCACTGATTACCGTTTGTAGTCAATTAGCACGTGAGAATATGCTCATTAGCTACTTCAACATATGTAGTGATATGACAATCTGAGAGTAACAGATCAAGTTGAAAAATATGAATCCTTGCTCATACCTTCTGGATTATGATAAAATTTACAATTATTGGCACATTTCAGCCATGGTGGGACTTCATCAATATGATGGCGAGAATATTCCATGCAGAGACAAAGCGGTGGGATTTTATTATTCAGACGATTAGATAAGCGAGACCATAAGGAAAGCATTTCGCCATTATGACCATCACGTTCGGGTTTTTCCAGACTTCTACAAAATACAAAAACATTTTAACCCATAGAATAAAATATTCTAGTAACTAGTTTGAACAATAAATACACTGAGTCAGATTGGGTATAATAAATTGGAATGCATGAAATATTTGGTCGGTAGTAATGTTTAGGAAGTTTAGGTGGTCACTTCTAATGGAAGAATGCTAAGATCATGCCCTAGCACGTTTAATTATACTTTTCCAGGTTGTAGTCGCTGCTACTAGGTCAAGCCCACATAGGCATTCTAGATTCTAGACGTACCAATTTATTCCTTCTTAAGCCATATTTTGACCTTGTCAATTATTCGCTTAATAATTGTGGCCGCTTTCACATGATCGTGTTCGTCGATTGCTCATCCTATTCATTACATATCTGTAAATTATTTTTGTCTGAATATAAATACTGAGTTACGCTTGATCAAAACGAGTTGGCTCACTCGCTACATCGATGCGCGTCACGGTTGTATGAAATAAATGTATTCAAAATTCATTCTCGTGTTTGGTTCATTTCATTCCGTTATTCACTAACGCGATTGTCGGCATGTATATTTCGGCAACAATCATCAGAAACAATCTGACTGGAGACAGATATCAGGCCATTAAAAGGTAAATGAAAATGAATATTGCATATCTAGAGCTTCGTAAGTTTAAATGAGAAGGCGTAACCTGTAGAATTAACTATTTTGGATGTAAGAAAAAATCTATTTATTTCACTAGATAATCGCCCTTCACTAACATGAACTGGTTTACTATAGTTGGATAATGAATTTTTATGACTAAACGAGGTTTGCGAAAATTGTTAAATTCCATAGTTAACAATACAGATTGATATTAGACAAAAATAATAGGCTGTGAGATCAGAATTTTTAAGAATGATGACTTTTTATTCATTTTAAATTTACCGAAACGATTGTTTAAGAATCTTTTTTTAGCAAATATTGATCGTTGGTAGTACCATTACAATGTATTTCCAAACAGACAAAATGGAATTTAAACAGTTATGATACTATCTGTTTACAGTGAAGAATATTTCCTCCTTATCCTATGAAAAGCCCATTTTATGTCCAAATAGTTCAGAATCAAATTTAAAGAGATTGCTGTTAAGCTATTACAGTTACATATTTATATCCTATTAAATTCAGCCCTAATAGAAGTCAATCAAACCTCTAATGGTTCAGTGATGACTTCTAGAACTGTGCTGCTCTAAGCTCAACAAGCATAACTAACAAAGTAGTAATACAGTGAATCAATGCAAATATAGGCGTAGAAGTGTGGTATAGTAAATGAACACTTAGTTAATTGGTCTAAAGGTTGATAACCATGTTACTACCATTTTGCGCAGCTTATTTGCTTCTGCATCTGTCAGTCATAATCAACGTAGAACCTGGCACATATGTGCAACTGTTCAAGTCGGCACACCTTATGATTATGGCAAAATAAGAGAGTTAAAACTTATCTCAGAATAGTAGAAGTAGTGACAGTATCAACAGTAGTAGAAAAAAATTACACATGGACAGTATGATTCGAGTAGGAAGAATGAATCCAATGAATAATAAGTATGAGGTAATTTCAAAACTAGGAATCTAATTTCAATAATTGTTTGTCAGGTATACGGCTTACTATATAATGTATATCGACCTATTTGGATAGAAGGAAAGGTAATTAGACCCTTTCAAATGTTTAGATTTTTAGGCAGGTAAATGCTACTAATGAATGGAAATGATCTGTTAGCGGGACATAGACTGGATTAAAACATGGTCAATGCACGATTGCTTTGCTGCACGCTGATTGGCTAATTCTTATCCGATCAGCACTAGTCGAAAGTTGGAGAATACTCTAGAATCTTCTCATGTAAAAACAATAAATGTACTAATGTTTTCCCTATTGTGCTTCTTACTTGCATTTTACTTCAATCTAACCTTGTTATTTGGAATATAATCTCTTTCCTGTTCAACCATGTTCTGATTTGGCGACTTGTTGAGTGAATCGGTGTCCGAAAATACTAAGCAGTAGGAATAGCTGGGTCATACAGTAAGAAAAGAGATTATAACAGTGGCGATAGGGAAAAAGGAAAAAAATTCAAGATGCTCGTATCAGATGACCAGCTTAGCCGAAAACTACAACAACGGCAGGCACAACTTGATGCACACATGCGGTTGTTAGAGACTCTGACTAAACAGCTTATATATATATATATATATATATATATATATATAATGTTAAGTCTATCGATAGTCTAAATCACCCAATTGAGATACGCACAAAATCGATGTTCACAAAACCAATGATTTGTCTAAAACAGCTGTTATTTATTGAATAATATACTACATTAGTTACAAACTTCAAATTTTGAGTTCTTGGAGATAGTTGGAAGAAAGTTAGGGGCGGCCAAACCAAAACGTGGCATCAGTACTTGAAGTCACTAACATCTGGTTTCAGCCATGTTGGTAGATGCAAACTACTTGGTTGGGATCCGCGTGACTAACGTAACCAATGGTTGTAGACTCTGTGTAACATTGTTCAGAATCGATCACAATGGTGTAGGTGTATACACTCTCTGTCTTCCCTTAAACTATGAGATTAAAATTGCTTAGTATCTTTCTTTCTACGAACTAATTCCTTCTTCCTATACTATATCCTTATATGCAATCTTTCTTTTATATATTACTACCATTGACTTAACTACTTCTATGAATCTGGTGTTCTTCTTGCAGTACTAATGCGGTATGGCAACTTGGACTGATGCATATATGTGCCTAGTCTTACGTTGTAGCTGACTGACTTGTGAGGTGTCTGCGGTGTTTACCGCGTCTTTTTGTCTGAAATAAAAAGGATTTCCGAATAATAGTAACATAAAGAATAATTCCAAAATACGATAGTGCAAAAGACAGCTTTTAGGTTTTAGCAAAAAACCGAACCAAGACTAAACAATATGGAAACCGTTGCGTTTAAACAAGGGTTAAACAAATGCACAAAATAGTGAATAACTGCTACAATTATTGAGATAAAGTAATCATAATGATAAATACAATAAATGTTATAAGTACATGTGAATATTTCAGAATATCACACGACAAACATGAGTTACAACATCAGCTTAAACATTCCTAAGAATACAACTATTCACTGAATATAAATAAGTAGTATAAAACAATACTCAAAAGAGTCGAAGGGAAATGATTAAGGATTAAATGTAAAACCGACTTCCTAATTCTATCCTTGATTATGAGTGATTTCTCAAATTTAAATTGAATTATAATCAAAAATGAGGAATACTTGAGCGAACAATTGTTCTCAATAGCTTCATCATCAGGCCGTACCCAGAGGGCTTTATCCTTGTATGTTCGTAAACATGTACCAGCATGGTTGGGAAAAAGAGTCACTAAATCGATCAACAGCATTATCCTTTCTCACTTGGCAGATAGTGAACATCATATGAAAATAGATTAAGCTTTCTCTATCTTATATCAAGTTCTAAAAAATCTACCTCATGGAGCTAGATTACGGCTACTCTACATAGCCGAAGCCATCTGGATCAACTCCAGAAAACCAAACTTATGTATATAGAAAAGGTATATCCAGCCTCTATGTTTACCTTGGCCTACGACTGGATCACCGGATACCTAAACTGAATGTTATAAACCTCTCACTCCCGTCCTTTTTTTCTTAATTACCCGTATCTTAATCTTCATATCCATCATTCCCAATCCGTTTGTCGTAATTACCTTGATAACACCCCTCTTATTACATATTATATTCACGCAACAATATTATTATTATCTCAGTTGACAAGATGAAATACATTTCATTCACGCGATTTTTTCGCATTTTCATTCTTGCTATAATACTATTCTACTGATTGTGACTGGACACTTTACTCCAAATCATTCTGACCTATATTAAATAATCCTTTCTTACTGTACTATATCCTTATATGCAATCTTTCTTTTATATATTACTACCATTGACTTAACTACTTCTATGAATCTGGTGTTCTTCTTGCAGTACTAATGCGGTATGGCAACTTGGACTGATGCATATATGTGCCTAGTCTTACGTTGTAGATGACTGACTGGCTGACTTATTATTGAGATATAAAAAGGGATACTTCTATCGTAATATTCATGCAATTCGATGAAGCTATTTATTATGAAGATAATCGGTTCTTACAGTTTTCTATATATTGTTAGATAGATACTTACGAAGCCTATTGTGGGACTCTTCAGCAGTGCGCATCCACGATCCCGCTCACGGGATTCGGACTCAGAGCCTTCAGTCTCGCGCCGTCCACTGATTCCAGTTTCCAATGGTGGTCTAACATCAATAGGTTCATGATTTCAACCAAAAAATGATTCCTAAGCTGTTGAATTATAATTGAAACAAAATGCAATGATTGAATTGATTAAATCAGACATACATGACTACTTAAATAAGTTTTTTTCTAAATAATTTACTTCATATTGACTTACATCTCTTTAGTATCCATGGTATCGGACAAATTTGTATGTTTATAATTACATTTAATTGTTTGATTCGAATTATTATTGAGTTTATTTTCGTCAATTGAGTTGCTATGATCATTTACTGTCAAATTATCTCTATTAGTAGACAGAATTTGTGTTGAATTTCTCTCAAAATAATTAGACGATTTAAGAGTTTTATTAGATTTTACATTAAGAAAACGTTTTTCAGCTTTAGCTAAAAAAAATAAACAAGAAGCGATAATAAAGATTTTTTTCATCTTTATAAATAGGGTACCAGGATAAAATACCATGTCAATAGAATTCAAAAAGCTTTTTTAGACGTAGGTATGCGATAGCTGGGTTTTAAAAAAAGGGGAGAATTTATTTGGAACTGACGAAAGTTTGTATCAATGTACGGCTAATGGTGAGGTAGCCACGGATAACAGCTACTGCCAAGAAAGTCCTATTCACTGCATACTCTCGATGAGGGTGTCGTTTACGAAACTGAGAGGGCTAAAAGCGAATGTCTAGCGCTTTAACCGGGTTGGTGAATATAAAAGATCCACTTAGGAGAGTTGGAAAAGCCTGATTCCAAACCAATGGTGCCCTGTAGTCTCCAGGATCTTGAGGGGACGAATGGCGTATGCGCCTATTGTTGGTCACTAGCTACCATGAAACTGCATCTCCTGACGTTGCTCCACTGATTCGTGAATTAGACTCTTAGATCAGAGGCTTGACGAGTGGCCACTGAAGAAAACCACCTGCCTCGGTTTGGGCGCTAGGGCATTATTCCAGCCCTCACACAAATCGAATGTTGAAGTGTGATGCATATGTTTGGTGCCTCCTTGTACCAATGTTTATGTGTTTCAATAAATAAATAACCACATCATATCGATGTAGAATTATACCCAGGTAGATGACATTACAGTTTTATAATCACTGTCAATTTTTGATGATACATGATTAAATCATTATAACATAATATGAGAATTATAATATCATGTGCTGTTACTTAGGAAGAGTAGATGATTTAAGATTCTGAGTTGGTTTTGATGACACAAGTCTATAAAATTTCTATTAGAATCAAATAAAGCTATTTTATCATTTTTTAATCACTGATGGTGTTTTAGACAAAAATAAACTGCGACTCAATCAACGGATTACCAGAAATAATCTCGAAATTTTAGATAAGGAGAAGTCCGTTTGACGAACTCATAAACTTGAGCTGACTTTCAACGATTACTCCACAACTAAAATTAGTATAATGAAATCAAGGGGATGGATGATGCTTTACCAATTTGAGAAACAAAATTAGCTCAGTAATTAAAGCCTTGACATTAGGAGAAATCAATTCTAAAGAATATATAGAGAAATTAAATTCTTTAAAATTACCAACCAATTATCTCTTCCTTTTTTATCTTAGCGTGAAATGAATTCACAAGCTTATACAATGCTTATTAGCACCAAGTTCAGCGATACACCATACACGTTTCTTTGATACTGGTGAAATTTGAAAATAACATAGTTTATTAACGATAAGAAACCAATTCCCATGATGTCCGGTATTTAAGGTTGGTTCGTGCTTCACTCGTATCCTTAAGATTAGGAATCCATGTGTGGCATTAGTCAGATATTACAGTTTCCTAATTCCCCTAGATAGACCTTTTGTGAACGAGATTACGTGTGGGGACAACTGATTGTAGTTCTAACACAAACTTACGAAATATCTTGGTAAAATATGAGAACAATACACTGAATACTTCACTTCCAAATTTCCACCATGCATCCTTTACATTCCATATGATTCTTCCAGTTCACAATCCCTTCCTATTTTCCCTTCTATTCTCTTCAACTCAATCCTCTAAGCCTTCTGCTCTCATGTTTCTCACTTCCTATTGTGTTACATACTACTTATGTTGACAGACTTAAGTAGCATACACTACAGACCAAGGCACCGTCACGTTCTAAGCCAAGAAGCTAACCTACAACTATATGGAAACAACTCTCAAGTCTTACTATCTTTAACCGTACCAAGCTATTTTTAGGTTCTTTTAATTCTATTCCATTTACGAAGCCACACCATCTTAGAGATGGTGAATAATGTATTCAGTAGTTTGTATCACATAAACGAAATCCTTAAATTCTTAGATTCTAAATTCAATTTATTTGTTGAAACCTTAGTGTTGATTTAGTAAGACTAGTTAGCATATATATTAAGTTACATTTACATTACTATCACAAAGCGTCTTTGGTCAACTTTAACCACAAACTGTCAAGCCTTTTAATTTAAGTAGTGGATTAATAAAACAACAGTAGAAAAGAATGAAAAAAGAATGTTGGGTTGAAAAAACAAGATTATTGTATCACCTTTAATGTTTTCCGATAAAATTAAATCTTCTTTATTTCGACGTAGATCACAGACCTTTTTACGTTCAGCATCTGAATAAATACGTCTTCCAACAGCCTGTCTCATTTGTCTAGCTTTATGCTCGTTTAAGCTAGAAGTTCTAAGTTTTAAACTTTTCACGAGATAAGGGAAACTATGAAGTGATAACGCCTTAGCACGACTGGACAAGTCATCAATACTCTGTTCAGTACATTTGCAATGATTATGTGTAGTATTATTTGTTGTTGTTGTTATTATTGTACGACTAGATAAACTAGTTTCTTGTCTAGGTGATTGTGTGAAAAACTTTTCTGACTGAAAAAAAACATAAAAGGAAATGACGCGTAGAGAAAGGGGCTGTCACACCATACATTATACCACTTTAAACAGAAATCAGCTCACAGGACGAATTTATGTGTTTACAAATGTTTAAACAAACATATTTCGAAGTAATTTTAAAAACTCATCAAAAACAATTTTATGCCTATGAGAACGTGTAAAATCTCACCAAAAATAGGCTTCGTAAGTATCTATCTAACAATATATAGAAAACTGTAAGAACCGATTATCTTCATAATAAATAGCTTCATCGAATTGCACGAATATTACGATAGAAGTATCCCTTTTTATATCTCAATAATAAGTCAGCCAGTCAGTCATCTACAACGTAAGACTAGGCACATATATGCATCAGTCCAAGTTGCCATACCGCATTAGTACTGCAAGAAGAACACCAGATTCATAGAAGTAGTTAAGTCAATGGTAGTAATATATAAAAGAAAGATTGCATATAAGGATATAGTACAGTAAGAAAGGATTATTTAATATAGGTCAGAATGATTTGGAGTAAAGTGTCCAGTCACAATCAGTAGAATAGTATTATAGCAAGAATGAAAATGCGAAAAAATCGCGTGAATGAAATGTATTTCATCTTGTCAACTGAGATAATAATAATATTGTTGCGTGAATATAATATGTAATAAGAGGGGTGTTATCAAGGTAATTACGACAAACGGATTGGGAATGATGGATATGAAGATTAAGATACGGGTAATTAAGAAAAAAAGGACGGGAGTGAGAGGTTTATAACATTCAGTTTAGGTATCCGGTGATCCAGTCGTAGGCCAAGGTAAACATAGAGGCTGGATATACCTTTTCTATATACATAAGTTTGGTTTTCTGGAGTTGATCCAGATGGCTTCGGCTATGTAGAGTAGCCGTAATCTAGCTCCATGAGGTAGATTTTTTAGAACTTGATATAAGATAGAGAAAGCTTAATCTATTTTCATATGATGTTCACTATCTGCCAAGTGAGAAAGGATAATGCTGTTGATCGATTTAGTGACTCTTTTTCCCAACCATGCTGGTACATGTTTACGAACATACAAGGATAAAGCCCTCTGGGTACGGCCTGATGATGAAGCTATTGAGAACAATTGTTCGCTCAAGTATTCCTCATTTTTGATTATAATTCAATTTAAATTTGAGAAATCACTCATAATCAAGGATAGAATTAGGAAGTCGGTTTTACATTTAATCCTTAATCATTTCCCTTCGACTCTTTTGAGTATTGTTTTATACTACTTATTTATATTCAGTGAATAGTTGTATTCTTAGGAATGTTTAAGCTGATGTTGTAACTCATGTTTGTCGTGTGATATTCTGAAATATTCACATGTACTTATAACATTTATTGTATTTATCATTATGATTACTTTATCTCAATAATTGTAGCAGTTATTCACTATTTTGTGCATTTGTTTAACCCTTGTTTAAACGCAACGGTTTCCATATTGTTTAGTCTTGGTTCGGTTTTTTGCTAAAACCTAAAAGCTGTCTTTTGCACTATCGTATTTTGGAATTATTCTTTATGTTACTATTATTCGGAAATCCTTTTTATTTCAGACAAAAAGACGCGGTAAACACCGCAGACACCTCACAAGTCAGTCAGCTACAACGTAAGACTAGGCACATATATGCATCAGTCCAAGTTGCCATACCGCATTAGTACTGCAAGAAGAACACCAGATTCATAGAAGTAGTTAAGTCAATGGTAGTAATATATAAAAGAAAGATTGCATATAAGGATATAGTATAGGAAGAAGGAATTAGTTCGTAGAAAGAAAGATACTAAGCAATTTTAATCTCATAGTTTAAGGGAAGACAGAGAGTGTATACACCTACACCATTGTGATCGATTCTGAACAATGTTACACAGAGTCTACAACCATTGGTTACGTTAGTCACGCGGATCCCAACCAAGTAGTTTGCATCTACCAACATGGCTGAAACCAGATGTTAGTGACTTCAAGTACTGATGCCACGTTTTGGTTTGGCCGCCCCTAACTTTCTTCCAACCATCTCCAACGCCGGTTAGCATTGCACGTCGTGGTAATCAGTGTTCAGGCACATGCAACACGTGGCCCAACAATCTGAGTCGATGAAGGTTCACAACCTCATCAACTGATTTACCATCATTCCCTGAAACCCTGCGTCTAACCTCACTTTTACTTACCTGGTGATCCCAGCAGACGCCAGCAATATTTCTAAGGCATCTGTGGTCAAATACTAGTAGCTTACGAGTGTCTTGTTCTCTTAATGGCCATGTTTCGCTGCCGTAAAGTAGGACAGAACGGACTGCCGCGCAGTCCAAATTTTTTTGTATGAATGATACAAAGAATAGATGCCCTTAATATTAACTAGCAGTCATAGATAAGTAACTGATAGTTTACAATAACCTAAGTGTAATTTGGTGTTTGAAAATTACAAATAGAGATACCCAGATTTTTGCTTATCATTCACTATCTAATAGTCCAATAAACTTTGTTCTTTCGTACAACTACGCTGATTGCAAAGTTTTGAAATTTAAAACGGTTTTAAATCAGTTTATTAACCAATATAAAAAAATAAACTACTAAATAATCTACTTTCACATCGGTCAATGGCCAGGACTAATGACCTCAACTTCATTCGCTAATGTATAGTAAAGAAGGTTGGACAATATGAAACACTTCTATTAATATAACTAATAAAAGGCTACAACTTTAAGACCTTACATACTGAGACTAGTTTTGAACTATTGAGAATATTACTTCTATCATAAGTATTTAAACATAATCTCACTCATTATAAGCAGAGTTAACTGGTCACTAGCAGTGAAACCCAGGAGACGCATTTCGCACTAGTTGAGACTAGTCAGTCCGATGCACCTACATTTCAGAGTTGAAGTTCACTAAGCTGAATGGATAACGCAATGGTATCTGAAGCGGACGGTGTAGGATTCAAGTTCCGAAGCGAGTACATTCGGCTGACCAGTCTCGAATAAAATGAAACGCTAGTCCTGGATTCCACTGCTAGCTCTGTTTATGATGCTCGTGACTTAACAAAATATTTGAGCGATTCACTTGGAATCCATATATGTCAAAACGGACTGATCAATTAAGGTTTTAAACACCACTAGGAGGATTTAAACAAACACTACAAATGAATTATAATCTCACTCATATGTGAAACGCAATAAAAACCACAGGTTTTCCTTTTATGATTCTTTGACAAACAAACGGCTTAAACGGAAAATGAAAGTTCCGTAGGATTGATAAACTTTAGACAAAAGATAATAACCGAGTGAAATAGATAAAAATACTACTAATAAATATAAACTTACATTGGTTAATACTTCACTACGATTACTGCACTCTACAAAAATTAGAATTTTAACGAATTATAAAAAACCAAGCTGTAAAATTACTTTGAGAATCTGTTCTGCTCGCGCTGTCACACGATGTATTTTGATTCAAAGTAGTAAGAACTGATTCACTGGGTAAATTAGATAACAGTTTCTAAATTTAAAGATAAAGCTTTCTAACATTCTTACATCATCTATACAACTGGAATTAACTTTAGCAATTAATGATCTATACAATTTCGATCGCTTTTGTTCTGTTATCAAAAATTGTTTTAATTTAGTTTCTTTCAATAACTGTTCATTGTGTGTTAATTCACTGATATATCTGGCATTTGAATCCTGGATATTATAAAATACTTTACCATTCAAAAATAAACAACTACCTCCGGTGGTAGAGTAAAGTGGTCCTTGAGCACACGACTATTACAATTCATGTAAAGACGATGAACAAGCAAAAACTTTGTTTATTGATTATGCTGTTAATCCCAAAATAAGGGGTATAGCCATAAGCAAAGGAGTGAACTATTACACCAAACAATAATAATAAGAAGAGTAAAAATAAATCAACGATCAGAGAATTAGCTTATAAATAGTGTCGTAAGAAAAGATATTATTAATCAGGTTGATATTTAAGCCAATAATAATCATATTGAGAATTAAGTGTTATATCCCGATAAAAATAATGAATCGTAACTTTTGGAATCCATTTATGGACCAATACTATACGTATATTTTTATCGTATAATTGTTATGTAACTAAACTATTCATATTCGTGTTCCTCTTATCATAAGCTTTATTTTAATTTATGAACTGTTATTATATTATTTACCATTCTTGAACTATGCCATGTCTATGTATTACTAACTTTCTTATTCACAGCCACTTTTGAATAAATCCTGTACAAATTTTGTTTCCTATTTTATGGTACGATGTGGTCTGTTTGGTTGATATATAAACCCAGTGTGCTTGGAATACATGATTCATATCGCAGAGGCTGAGATTAGTGTTCTTGACCTAACATGCCGGGCTAGGCGGAAAGCAAGACCGATAACGACTCTAGGCTGCTCGCACGGGTTTTATGCGTCATTGGTACAATCGATAATTCACTATTCTCTAATTGGCAGTATCATTACATTATACATTAGCAAGACACACAGGCCACGTTATAACATTAGTTAAGTAGTTAATTACTTGTATATCACCATAAATGTTTAACATAGCGCAAATATATGACGATCCAGATTCTAACAGCTCACATAAGCACAGAGAAACAAATCTCAATTTTTCCAAGCAAATATCGGTAAAACAACAAGCATTACAATAGGACGATAAACCCAAGGAAAGAAAATAAACGAAAAGTCGGAAGAAATAGTATGGTAGAAAAAACTCAAGTTTTGTAAGAAAATAATAGATACAACTGCTTCACTAAAACCAATTTCTCGCAGTAACTCAGTTTCTTCAATATGAAAATCTTACGAAATGAAACCTGGGGATTTTTACCAAACTATATCAGTTAGTTTTGAAAGAAATCTTCAGAATATGTGGATTAAAATAGGTCGAATGTCTGTCATCATAAAACCACAAGTCTTGCACAAAGTTAATTGAAAGTTCTTTAGATTAGAAGAAATTCAATTGTTATTTAAGATCGACTCTTATCTCATATGATGAAGAAAAGTGGGAATTCAGTTGCTTTTAACATCAGAAATCAAAATTATCTGCCGAATACCAGCATCATAATAGTTTGGTGATTCTGATAAAATACCGATATACTCTCATTTCCATGGTTTCTAAAGAAGGTATACATAGTTTTGTACTGCGAGAAAATAAATAACTTTGTCTAGCGAAATTTTATCATGTTAGATATTGTTTAAAAGTATTCAAAGTGGGCCGGCCCTCTTTATTCACTGTAGCCAGAGAACAAAGTGGTCTCAAATGGCACAAAATTGTCGCAATCAAGGTGAATATTCCAGAAAAATCAGTAACAACCCATCCAAAAATGAAATATATCATCTAAATGTTCATGAACACCACATGCTTGAGGTGTACCTAAAGTATACTTTATAAATTGGAAACTTGCACTAAGATTTGCGGCGATAAAATTCTTCGATCATCGGCGAACCAGGACGATAATTACTTGTATATCATCTCCGTATACGTGTTTCACATTATTGCATAGGGCAGAATCAAAACTAAACAGTGCGAGAAAACATTAGCGACCTAAATACATATAAATATCAAAGAAAAACAAAAGTCACCGATCGTTAATATATGACTTGTTGACTTGAAAAACCAGGTTTTCGCACAATTTTTCGATCCTATGATTATTGAAGTTCATGTCACATACGTATATAACACAACATGCTTCATCAATCATATTCGAGAAAGTTGCTTAATTTAAACACGGCTTCAGTTTCGAAACGTCTGGAGGCTTGTGGGCCTGTGTCAATACTGCTGCTGATGGTCTCTCAGTTGATCCAACTTTCTTTAAGAAGAGTCCACGCGTGGAGCTTCCATTACGTGCTGCGATAATGAGTTCCACTCGTTGATGATTCGATGGAAAAGTCTATATTCAGCTGACAAATAATTGTTCTGTTCTCGTGAACATTTTTGGAGTGTCCGCATAAATTCTTTGTTTTGGAAGACAAGAAAAATGGGGGCATATCAGGTGCGAATTTATTACTAAACAATTTGAAAACTGTAATCAAATCGCATCTAGTTCTACGATATGACAACGGGAATAGGTTGAGCTTGACCGGTCGAGCAGCATACAACAGCTTTGTTATTCTGGGAATCAGCTTAGTTACTGTTCTCTGAACCTTTTCCAGAAGCTCACTGTCTTTTTTTAACTGTGTACAAAGTCAAAAACGTTTAAACATAGACGTGATCGAAAGCCCTACGTATCGACCATAAATTTATAGAACCTTTGGCGGCTATTGCACAGCAGTGCAGTAGTCTTTAAGTCTTGGTTAACGATGACTGCCAAGTCATTGTGCGTCTGGAAAACGAGCAGCGCATTGTCACTCATCGTGTATATATCTGTACCTTGATGATCAGTATTCACCACAATACACTTGAAAGTATTTATCAGCAACTGACGGGCCTGAGACTATTCAAATAATTTCTCCAGGTCATTTTGGATTTCTGAGCTGTCACACTTACATCTAATCGCTCCCCATATCTTGACATCATCAGCATATAGTAAGGCAAATGATGATAATTGAGACATAACACCACATTCATTTCATCATGAGTTCTAGTGGAAGTTATCTGATCTGTATGCATCTAACCTTAAGTACTTATTAAATTTAGTGAAAATTCATATTCTGACATTTGGTAAGTAAAGAAGGAAAGAAATGAGCTTAGGAATTTCGGCCAAACTCTAATTTAGGGACGACCTTTGAACGAATCTTGAATGACCTTGACAATTATTAGTCAATCAGAAGACAGTTAGTATAAAGTGAAAATATATTAAAAAAGTAATGAATTACAGTAGATATTCTTCTTTTACATGATTTAAAAACTTGTTAAGGTTTGATAAAGGTTCAGAGGTTCTGAATTCATAATGCATATGGTATAGAAACTCGTCCACAGGTTGTGGTTAGGTTAGTGTTACAGTTTAGGGCTAGGGTTAAGGTTAGTATTAGGGTTTAGGGTTAAGGTTAGGGTGAGATTAGAGTTAGGGTTAGGGTGCTAACATACGATCGGTTTACGACGGATTTTAGAGAAGAGGTGTTTATTGAGAGGCTACAACCCCAACCATATGTACGAGTTTCTCTACCATATGCATTATGAATTCAGAACCTCTGAACCTTTATCAAACCTTAACAAGTTTTTAAATTATGTAAAAGAAGAATAACCACTGTAATTCATTACTTTCTTATAATATATTTTTACTTTATACTGTCATCTGATTGGCTCGTCCCTAAATTAGAGTCTCGTCGAAATTACTTTTCAATTAGTTTTTCATCATGGCTCTACACTAATATATATATATATATGATTCACAATAATGGAATAATACTCATCTAGTGGATACGTTACGTAATAATTACATAGTGACATTTCGACTACAAATTAAGTAAGTAGAAGAAAGAGGATTATTTATATTCAAAGTAATTATTCGAAAATCAAGAAGTTGCTACGCTGTATAATATATGAAAAAGAGAATGAACAGAATATTTTATTGGATGGTCAATAGAATAGCAGTTATGTAAGAATCAAGAGATGAATGTTGAGAAAAAATACAAGGTTCAAAAAATACATTCATTCAAAAAAACCGAATGAAAGAAGTACGAAAATAGTTCTTCTGTAAGTATACTGTCAAGGATCCCTTTGAATTTGTTGAGAATCTGAAAAGCCTATCAGTGAAGAACAGCTTCATGACATCACTAGATGTATCACCCCTGTTCACTTACATTCCACTACTTGAAACGATGAATGAACCTCAAACCTCACGTGTGATAGACTAATCTACATTTTGAGCTAAATACGGGTTAATAATTAACTGAAGCTTTGCCTCGGCTTACAATCCGGTTTTTACAGTTTCCACATCAGGGCTAGATTCAGTATATCCTAACATTTTGTACTGCGCGTTTTATCTGTTGCACCTGCTTCCAGTGTATTGCTTTTTGTTTTACGGTCGTCAATTTTGATTCAATCTACCAAACAACTTACATTTAAACACGGCCATGAGGAACTCATGTAAGCGACATGGATGTCGTTTTGCTGTCCTCTGTGGTATGAAATGTGACAAAACACAAATGTTGGTTTTAAGAACAATGTAAATGCTACCAAAGCTTAGTAATAAACAGTCATAGCCAAACATAAATATAGATGATCCATTATCAGTATCTATCGAGCTAGTAAGCTATGAGTACTAATCAGTATTACAATACGGTAGGACGTGTGATTATTATTCATTAGACTAGTAGAAGAGTGTTTTAACATAAGGAAGCGCCGATCGGTTAAGTTAGTATCAGTGGATCACTGGTGCAATGTTAAACGACAAAAGAGAAAGAAGTACCCATAAGATGTTTGCGGATAATAATAATAATAACTGGTAGAGTATATTGAAATATTTTTTTAGTCCCTAGGACTCCAGTGAAGATACTTGGGTCAGTTTCTAAAGCAGTGAATTCCACAGCTTGACTATTCGTACATACCTGAGTGAAAGCCCTCGGTTGCGCAGCCGAACACATATCACGAGTGGGTACTCTGTTCCACGCATCTCTTGTAACTGCAGGACGGCTCATGCTAGGCGCTTCACAGAATATAAATGGCTTTCAAAATATATCCTCGAGCCCTCCATTTCTGACTCCTGAACTGAGTGCCTTGGTATACTTCAATTATAGTAGTTTTACTAGTAAATGCGTTGTCAAATTCGAATACATGTAGCATTTTCGGTGGTAACACCAACGTGATTTGATACACCAG